GTTATGGCATAGGTGCCCCGCTCGATGAAATTGGTTCCACTGGAAGCGAAATAGCCCTTTAGACCTTCAACCATCAGCTAGATGACGGTGCCAATCACAGATTTGTGAGGCATATCTTATAGCTGTGGCATAGGTGCCCCGCCCGACGAAATTGGATTATTGAAAGCAAAGAAGGCCTTAAAAAGAAGCATTGCTAACCGTTGAGTATACCAGTATTCTACCGGCCGACAGGGCGACATGACAGCCTTGGTTGTGGCATAGCTGCCCCGCCTGATGAAGTTGGCTTGCTGAAGGTGAAAAAAGATATTCCATCATTCTGCCACGGGCGTGCCCTATGATAGCTTCAAGTTGATCACTGCTATATTGTCCTTTGAGGTGCGGAGACCCAAGACGGCCTTTCTGAATCGCAAAGGTGTGATCACTGCTATATTGTCCTTTGAGGTGCAGAGACCCAAGACGGCCTTTCTGAATCGCAAAGGTGTGATCACTGCTATATTGTCCTTTGAGGTGCGGAGACCCAAGACGGCCTTTCTGAATCGCAAAGGTGTGATCACTGCTATATTGTCCTTTGAGGTGCGGAGACCCAAGACGGCCTTTCTGAATCGCAAAGGTGTGATCACTGCTATATTGTCCTTTGAGGTGCGGAGACCCAAGACGGCCTTTCTGAATCGCAAAGGTGTGATCACTGCTATATTGTCCTTTGAGGTGCGGAGACCCAAGACGGCCTTTCTGAATCGCAAAGGTGTGATCACTGCTATATTGTCCTTTGAGGTGCAGAGACCCAAGACGGCCTTTCTGAATCGCAAAGGTGTGATCACTGCTATATTGTCCTTTGAGGTGCGGAGACCCAAGACGGCCTTTCTGAATCGCAAAGGTGTGATCACTGCTATATTGTCCTTTGAGGTGCGGAGACCCAAGACGGCCTTTCTGAATCGCAAAGGTGCGATCACTGCTATATTGTCCTTTGAGGTGCGGAGACCCAAGACGGCCTTTCTGAATCGCAAAGGTATGATCACTGCTATATTGTCCTTTGAGATGCAGAGACCCAAGACGGCCTTTCTGAATCGCAAAGGTATGATCACTGCTATATTGTCCTTTGAGGTGCAGAGACCCAAGACGGCCTTTCTGAATCGCAAAGGTGTGATCACTGCTATATTGTCCTTTGAGGTGCAGAGACCCATGACGGCCTTTCTGAATCGCAAAGGCGTGATCACTGCTATATTGTCCTTTGAGATGCAGAGACCCAAGACGGCCTTTCTGAATCGCAAAG